GGGGTGCGGCAGAGGGCTCAGGGCAGGAAGTTGGGGTGCAGGAGGGGCGCGGGGTGCGGCAGGGGGCTCAGGGCAGGGGGTTGGGGTTCGGGGTGTGGGCTCCAGCCTGGCGCCACTTACCTGGAGCGGCTCCAGGGTGGCAGCAGCGCGCAGCGGGGCTAAGACAGGCTCCCTGCCTGCCCTGGCCCTGTGCCACACTGCTCCCAGAAGCGGCCAGCACCACGTCCCTGTGGCCCTTGGGGAAGGGGGGAGGCAGAGGGCTCCGCGCGCTGCCCTCGCCTGTGGGTACGCCCCCCCCCCCCAGCTCCCATTGCCCGCGATTCCCCATTCCCGGCCAATGGGAGCTGCGGGGGACAGTGCCTGCAGGCGAGGGCAGTGCACGGAGCCCTTTGCACCCCCTCCCCATCCAGGGGCTGAAGGGACGTGGTGCCGGCTGCTTCTGGGAGTGGTGCGGGGCCCGTGGAGCCACAGGGGTGGCAATCCCGCAGGCCAGATCCAAAGCCCTGACGGGCCGGATTCGGCACGTGGGCCGTAGTTTGCCCACCCCTGCTTTAGAGATTACTAAAGCTAGTTCTGCATTTAAAAGACTGGCTTGCACTACGCTGTACATTTGCTGCTTAAGCTTTGAACCTGTAAACCATCGAGCATCTTCCACTAGTGTGAAAATCTTTTCTCATAGATGTGGGTGAGTGTCGGGCTGGTGAATCGGGAAGTGTTGATAGCTATGGTGTTTCACATCTGGAGATCTGGTTTTAATTTAGCTTTCAGCCCTATGCACATTCAAGAGCTTACTAGTAAAAATAATTCTTTCCATAAAACTCTGCTCTGTCATGGCTTGGCACTAATGACTGTCTCTGCTTAGATGAGATTCAGGATAAAGCTAAACAATATCTTGAAGTCTTCCTATAGTTATTACTAAAGAATGTTCTAACTAGCCTCTGAACTACAAAGTTAAAGATAAATTCAGCTTCTTGTGGATAGGGATTCCTGAGATGGGATGAAAGCATATAGGTATGCTCAGGTACCCACAAATGTGAAGCACTTGCGGGGAGCACAATAGGCAAGGTGTTTTATTTAATCTTTCTGCCCAACCCAGGAACTGGGGGGAGACACATCTTTGTTTTGTCATTTTTGGGAATGCCAGCTGTGAAACTAGAAAGAGAGTTGAGTTTTGAGCAGGGGACTGAGAATTAGGCACTTTAGAGGTCAAATCCCAGAACAGACATCAACTTCTGGGGCTTGCATCACGTCTCCTAACCTCTTTGCCTCAGTTTCCCCAAATGCTGTAAGGCCAATTATTGTTTCTTCAGCCCTGAATAAAAAGTATGACGCAGTACTGACTGCACACCGCTCTAGAAAGACTCATTTCCTGAAGGCGGGGAAAAATGACAACTCCCATTGTTTCAAGGAATTTGGACTGATTTGAAGTGTGAACCAGCGAGCATCGGTCCATCCATGCTAGTACTTCAAAGTCTTCCATTTTGGTTTCTCTAAAATATCTTTGCCATTTCATTTTTGTTTTGAAAAATTGCTTTTTCCTACCCCCAGTTCTTCCACTTCATTAACTCATCTGTTCTATCCTATACCCCCTCTTTACCGTTCTGCACCCCCTGCCCAAAACATACTTTGCTGCAAGACCCAACCTATTCTGATGGGCTCTTCTGTGTCAGATTAGTCTGAAGTATCAAAGGAAGCAGTAACAGGGTTGACAAATGGAGAGTTCAAATAAATCTGATTTCATAGATTCATCGATTCCAAAGCCAAAAGGGACTATTATGATCATTAGTCCAACCTCCTGTATAACAAAAGCCAGAGAACTTCCCCGAAATAATTCCTACAGTGTATCTTTTAGAAAACCATCTAACCTTGATTTGAAAATTGGTAGTGATGGAGTGTCCACCATGATCCTTGGTAAATTGTTCCAATGGCTAATTACCCTCACTGTTAAACAATTGTCTTATTTCCAGTCTGAACTTGTCTAGCTTCAACCAGCCATTGGATCATGTTATACCTTTCTCTGGTAGATTCAAGAGCCTAATTATTAAACCTCAGTTCCCCATGTAGGTACTTGCAAGCCGTAATCAAATCATCCTTTAGCTTTCTCTTTGTTATGTTAAATAGACTCCAGAAGCTCAATCACAATCAGGCATGAATTCTAACCCTTTAATCCATTCTTGTGGCCCTTCTCTGAACCAACTCCAATTTATCCACATCCTTCTTGAATCATAGGCATCAGCACTGGACACACTATTCCAGTGCCAAATACTGAGGTAAAATAACCTCTCTAGTCCTGCGTGAGATTCCCCTGTTTATGCATAAGAACGGCCATTCTGGATCAGACCAAAGGTCCATCTAGTCCAGTATCCTGTCTTCCAACAGTGGCCAGCGCCAGGTGCCCCAGAGGAAATGAACAGAACAGGTAGTTTTCAAATGATCCATCATCTGTCACCCATTCCCAGCTTCTGGCAGAGCAAGAGCATTAGCCTTTTTGGCCACAGTGTCACACTGGGAGCTCATGTTCATCTGATAATCTACCCTCTCCCTCCAGCCAAAAACAACAACAACAAATCTTTTGAATTTGATCATGTAATCTGGATTAAATATCAGAGGCTGGGGGGTAGGGGCATTATTCATTGTTCTGGAATGTCTTGCTAGGGATGCAGCATTATATGTCTGACGGTCAGAAGCAACCAGGGCAGGATAAAGGAAAAAGGCTCGGTGGACCAATACACTGAGGATGATGCTCTGTGTCAGGGACCCAGCATGTTGTTCGAGAGACAAGGGGGAAAGCTGAAGGGGTATAAAGATAATTTCTAATTCAAAAACTGACCGAAATGGGAGAAGCTATGGAACAGTCTGAGCTGCTGCACAGCCAACTCTACTTTCAAGATCAAAGGAGTACAGCTGCAAGCCTTTCTGTTTACAGAGCAAGTGGGGGGCAGCTAATATTTGCTGATCTTCCTGCAAGGATGTGTGCCCGGTTTCTTTACAACTGTAGCAGGATGCCAGGTTTGAGGGAGAGTGAGGAAGGTTCTAGACAGAAAGTCTGGACTGAAGCAGAAGAGACAGAGTGGCTTTAGGGATAATAACATTTCTTGCTCAGTGTTGGAAGAAAGTGTCTTTCTGTGATTCTTTACCATTGCCACATGACCCTGAATTCCCTTAGGAGTGTGATTCAAGTAACGGGCTAAGTTCTGACTTGATTTTCCCCTCCTGGTTCGGCTATATAATAGGACCAAGTCAAGCAGGAAAGAAGTGCTTTTCATGGGTGCTTACTCATGCTTCCTAATTCACACTGGTGGGATACACAGCCGATGCCCCAATACCAGCATGTTTACTATAACTGATACAGCACTGGGTGGAAAGGGGCATGGGCATGGCAAAGCTAGTCAGGGACAGAATAAAGCAAAAACCCTGATCTTATGATTTTGAGTCGTGTGCTTTAACCACTAGACAGTTCTTCTTTACAAGTTCTTTATGCAGCAGCACAATGTAATACAAAACACAGGCACTAATTTTGAACGTGCAGAGGTGTCTGAGTTTTAAGCAAGTGGGACTAAGCAGCCCAATCATGACACTTTGTACTGCCATAATAAAGCCTCATTGGAGGAAGTTACAGTTTTTAAAGGGTGGGTTCAATTCTTTTTCATTAGTATTCACAAACCGTCTAACAGGGTTTCATCAATAGGGAGAGGAGTGAATAAACAGCACATTTGTGTGGGGCAAAGATCACAGGGAAAAGTGGCTCTGAAGATTCCTGGGAAGCATTTGTGTACCATGCTGCGGCAAGGTTTCCATAGTGACAGTCAAACAGTCCACATTCATTTTAAGGCCTTTGTACTGAGGATAATGGGCAGCTTGAGAGAGGGAAAATCCAAGAGCAGAGAGTTTGCAAAGTGTTGGACCTCAGAATAATGTCTGTGACTAATTGGCTTTTAATTAGTGCTCCTGTCATTGTTACGGAAACTTCTAACCGCAATACAAAGCACCTGTTTTTGCCACTGACCAAACTTTTAAATTTTTCTTGTTTAATCCAAGGCTAGCTCTAGGGAATTGTTTGGCAACGTAATCATAGATTCTTAACTGCTTCAAGGCAGATTCTTAACCATATTGCCTAAAAGAATGCATGTCTGTAGTGTGTGTGTGTGTACATAGCAGTATATGTTGATGTGAAAATACTATATAATTTCAGAGGTGGGAAAAACAGAAGGTATTTTTGGTTTTGTAAAGCTAAAATTAGGACTGATCCTGCTACCATTTTATCCAGACTTTCAAAGTTCAGAGATTTCACAGAGTGGTTTTAGTTCTGGGCCATCTCTAATAGGGAAGGAACTATACCTTTAAGAGATTATGTATTACCACCATACATTTACAGCTTCTCAACACATATCAAGCAGTTAAAATATCATGGTATAGCTTCATATTGGAACTAAATAGGTGTGTGGTCTATCAGGATTCCCTTCCCCCTCCCACACTCTTAAAACCCCAAGAAGCAGTGCCTTTTCTTCCAGCCGAAATAGTACGAATGTACCTCCCACAGCCCATCCAGAGTGATCCAAACATTGTTCAGAGGGTTATTAGCTGATGCCCTCCACTCCCTCAGCATGCTGTCCCTGCAGCTCTGCACTCCTCCAAATCCCAGCCTCAAGTTCCTTCCACTTTCACAGTCCAAAGATGGCCAAAAGTTTTCTTTAAACCTCTGTTGCATCACACCCCAAATAAACAAATTAAAACCTTTTATGCTAAGTTTTAGTCTGTCTTTTAGGGCCAAGTTTTAAACCCCTAAAAATAGGGCAGGTTTTGTTTGTTTATTTGTTTGTTTGTTTTTAGCAGTCTTTGGTGCAGTGGCTATAATGAGGGAGACCAGATGTCTTGGAGTTTTAATGATTTGTGAATAAAACTGTCACGAGGGGAAATTTGGTCTCTGAAATAAGGGTCATAATTCTGGGGTGTCTTTGTTATCTTCTGCTTATGCTAATTTTCTTGTTAATTAACATAGATTAACATAAGCAGAAGAAAACAGAAAACTGTTATTCAGAGCAGGGTTTGAATAGAGTGCAGTCAATAAGGCACAGGACCACTTTACAGAAAACTCTGGGAAAAATGACCTTGCTGACTGCAACTTTTCCTGCTCAATCATTCTACTTGTCCGCATGTGCCTTCAGATGAGCAAATGTAACAGGCTGTGCTGCTACGTGTGATAGCATAAGATAGGAGAATAATCATGCTTTGCACTCTCGTAGCTCTCTACATATCGAAAGGTCAGAGAGAGACTAAGGGGGGGAGCGACTGGCTCACGTCACACGAGGTACGTCTACACAGCATTTTGGAACGAGCCTCCCAGCTTGACTTGACAGGCTTGTGTCAGCAGGGCTCACGCGACAGCTCTTTGAAGTTGTGGCTTGGCAGGGAGCTTGGGCAGTCAAGCCTAGGGAGGGGGTTGGCGGTCCGATTGGAATGACATTCTTTCCCCATACATATAGGAGTGAGCGGTTGCCTTTATGGGGACAAGCTTAGCCTCGCTCCTGCTGGCTGGCCCTTTTGGCTCAAATGTTAGAGTGGCAGCCTTTGGTTCATGAAGGTCCCAGTTCAAGTCTCAGCTGTAACACGCATGATGCCCTCAAAGCAAATCTAGCCACCAGATGGGGGTACTCTGTTAATTGGGCTCTAATAGCTATAACCACCAGCTGGCTAATGTGGAGTCATCTAATAAGGGAGGGTCTTATACTGAACTATTTTGCACAGCATAATGAAATTACAGTGTAGACGCGAGTCATTTATTGTCCACAGTAGCATCTGCTAAAGAGCAAAAATGGATTGATTTGAATGTTTCCATCCCCAAAGATACATTGTCCGTAATGCCCCTGCCTCCCTTGTTGCAGAAGTTGGATACTGTGTAGTGAGGAAGGCAGAGGACTACAAGAAGAGAGAGGATGATCTCATGCTTTAGGCAGTTGAATGACACCCTGGAGAACTGGATTCTATCCCTGCCTCTGCCTGCCAGAGTTCCTTTGTGTTGCTGGACAAGTCATGTATATCACACTCTTCACAAGTGGTCACTAATTGTATTCCTCATTTTGTGGGTGCCCAGTTTGAGACCCTGATGTCTGATGTGCACTCACATTTGCAACAGAACTCAATGGGAGCTGTGCTTTGAACACATTAAGTGCTATATAATACTTATTACTTTGAAAAATCAGCTCCTAAGCATCTTAGATTGGGGATCTGCAATTAGTGGGCACTTTTGACTTTAATCTTTATGTCTCAATTCTCCTTCTGTACAATGAGGATAATAATACCCCCTTGCCTCACAGAAGAGTTACGAAGATAAATTCATTAATGTTTGTGAAGCTGTCAGACACTATAGTGATAAGCACCATAGAAAAACCCAAGAGGAAATTAATATAGTTGCTCCTTCCATGAGTACCATCCATCCTACACACTGAATGAGGTAGGGGTCCTGTAGGAAAAAATAGTGTGTTCCTGTAATTAAAGACTCTATCAAAATGCATACACACTAGGGGGCCGAATTAAGGTTGCACAGGCATCCTTAATTCTGGTATTTCCTAACTTTTGGGGGCTGGAATTTGCAACTTGTTTTGTTTTATTGTAGTTTTATCACAGAAATGTAGAGCTGCAAGGGACATGAAGAGGTCATCTAGTCCAGCCCCATAACCCCACCCTGCACTGAGGCAGGATTAAGTATACCTAGACAGGTGTTGGTTCTTTAAAACCTCCAATGTTGGGGATTCCACAACCTCCCTAGGTAACCTGTTCCAGCACTTAACTACCCAAAGTTTTCTTTCATATCTAACCTGTCTCTCCCTTGCTGCAAACTAAGTTGATTACTCTAGACTAAACGTGCCCAATTCTTTAAACCTTTCTCATAGGTCTAAACCTCTTATTTTTGTTTGCTCGCCTCTGGATTCTCTCCAATTTGTTGGCATCCTTCTCAAAACATGAGTGCCCAAAATTGGACACAGTACTCTAGTTGAGGCCTCACTAGTGCTATGTAGAGTGAAACAATTACCTCCCGAGTCTTACATATTCACTTCTTTTAATGCAACCCAGCATATTTTACCTTTTTTTTTTTTTTGGTTTCTAGCAGCAGCATAACACTGTTCACTCAATCAATTATTTATTTATATTACATACACCCTCTGTGTGTGTGTGTGTGAGAGAGAGAGAGAGAGAGCATGTGAGCGTTTAGCATTGATGAAAGGTGCCAGATTGACAACCCTATTGACTGAAATTCTTTGTCTGTAGCACAGATATAGCACCAACAGCAACAGTGTAAACTTTCCTGTGCTCCATTGTGGTTCAACACTGAACTGAAGGAAAAACTTTTAAAGATGAGGATAGTTCAGTCTTTGCGATTATTCAGCCCTTGGCCTGCTTAGATTGCCAACAAGGTTGTCCGTTATTATTATTAAATCACTTATTTATAATATTTAGTTTAAAGACTTGTGCTGTTTAATGGAAGATGTATTTAATAACTGTCATACAACCTGCTACTACACTAAGCAGAGGTGGTAATTTTGGTAACCTCTGTTCTTAGATGTGGTTAGAATCTGTATTGTACTGTGGTGACATTTTGAGTATGTATATAGTGAAACAGACTGCTTTTTAAAAATCTGATGGATAATAGTGACTACATTGTCTTGGATGAACGCCTATCATTTCTGAATGGTCATTTAGATACTGTTGTCCCTTTAATGAATTCTTTTGTGACATTATAAAAGAAATACTTTCCAGATATTGTTCGAGTGGAACAAAAAATTCCAGTGCCACACCCTGCTAGCTAGAAATTCAGATATTCATACTGGAAGTCTATGAGTTGGAATCGCACAGTGCAGTTTTAAGGGAAATTGTAAATATCTCTG